CTTCACAGCTCTCTGGAGTTTTTTCATTCTGCCTACAGTAAGTAGGCTGCAAGAACCCTGCTAGAGGGAGTTCATGTATGTACTGTAGGTCCTTCTATGTCATGCTACTGGTTAAGGGAGACATGGTCACAGACCAGGAGGATGTTCTCCTCATCATTTTCTATGTTGGCAGTGAAACAGGAACATTGAACTGCATTTCTACAAAACAAGTGTTATTGAAGCCATCAGTATGCACAAAGTGTCGCAGTTGCAGAGCACTCTCTACTGGTAATGCAGAAAGGCACAGTGTCCAACCTCCACCATCCATAACCTCACCAAATTCACTTATTTACTGACTCGCCTTTGTATATCCCATGATATCCCACATCACATCACATCACTTTGCATGTTTCTTCACAAATCTTGTGAATGCTACCAGCTAGAAAGAATAACATTGAAATTTCCTCTGATTAATAATTTTTAAACTATTTATCGTATGTGAACTCGTGTGTATGTTTTTTACAGATAAATTTATCAACTGTATATTGGATCACCACATATCATATTAACACCATAGTGTAGTTAAGAATAGGAATAGTGTGGTTCTTGATCACAGCACAGTTTGGCTTCAGGTATGGACATTCTTTCATGTAATTCATGCTGGTAAAACTGTTGGAACAGAAATTCATTACAAATCCACTCAGACAGACACAGAAGCATATAGTTACACAGGCACATGTCAAACAAGGCTGCACACAGGTCATCTCAGAGTGTTCTCAGTGCAGACACCAGTAAACAAAGACAGCAGCATTGGTACATTTCATCATGTTCTCAGGCTAACTACTTGGTGATTTAGAAGTGATTGCAGAGCAGTTGTAGTGAAATTAAGGATTGGGCAAATGCTCAGCACTGTCTGTTGAGGAAGAGCAAATAAAAGCAGCTACCAAGTAAGTAAAGGTCTCTTCACAGACCAACGACAGTGTTGTTTAATGCCTAATTCGTTAATGAAGTCATTAGTTGACTGAGATTGTGATACTTCAAGGCTGGCACACCACTGGCCGGTCGATGCCAGGCTAGAAGGGTTAGAACAACATGCCCTTCCTGGGCACCTGTAGGCCTGCAGAGTTATTGATGGGAGCTGTACCAATCCACTGACTGACTCAGACCCACATCCCACTATCTGCACTGTGAGGCGAGCGGTTGGTTGCACCAAGAAGATGGTGGCGTGGTGGCACACATTTCTGAGGACATTTTTACACCTCTCCCACCCTCAGATCAACAACTGACAGTCTGTAAAGTCAGGAAGGAAAAATAAAGAATTGCTGCTTTTGGAAAAAAAAGCATGCAAATCATCTTTGTGGGGGAAAGCAAGGCTGGCAGAGGCAGACGATCTCAACAGAGGGAAAAGCTGTGATCCAGCAGGGTACAGATCCCACTCAGAGTAGTGGCTCTCTGAAGGTGTCCAAGGCCTGAAACCTTGTGCCTCCTCACGCTGGGCTGAGTAGACTGCTGGGTGCTTGCAGTACCTCTGATGAAGTTTGCCTGTGGGAGGTGAGGGGTTGGACTGTGCAGGGCTGGGATTCACTCCTGGTGTTCTTTATTGTTGTACAGTGCACTTCACAGTTCCTTACAGCAGGGATATGCAAACTGTGCTCGATTTGTTATCTGACTGGAGCCTTTATGGTTTAGCATCTTAATTTCACTCAGCAAATGATAAATATTCTTCTAAACTTTGGACTTCTTTTTCACAGAGAAAGATGTTGGTCCCTGTGGCATGAGCAATTGCTTCTCAGCAATTTGTTTTTAATTCATCTTGCACAAGTAAACACTTCTCATCAGGCTAAACCTCTGGTTAATTTCTTACTTTTCTTTCTGAAATGCACAAATGAAAATTAAATAAACCCTCTACACACTGTCAGGAGACAAAATATGCACGTACAGTATGTTGACCTCATGGCCAGTTAAATGTCTTTTCAAAAGTACTTGCAATTTTTTCATACTAAATATTTCATGAAATTATATATTTTTTTGGGTAGCACCATGGTGCAGTGGTTAACATTGCTGGCTTACAGGGGTGGGGCCCTGGTTTCAACTCCCAGACCTAGGGTGCAGTCTGTGTGGAGACTGTGTGGTCTGGTTTCCTCCCACAGTCCAAAGACATACTGGTAGGTTAATTGACTTCTGGGAAAATTGGCCTGGTGTGAGTGTGTCTACAATTGCCCTGATGGACTGATGTCCTGTCCAGAGTGCACTCTTTCTTATGCCTGTTGCCTGCCAGGACCCTGAATTGGTGAAAGTGGTTTGAAATTGAAATGGATAATTTGCGATGAATAAGTGCACTTTGGCTGCTCTCTTTTAGCAAAACTTGTGTCCAGTTTTGGGACCTCACATGCAGCCCTTTCCACAAGCTTATCCTGATGTGAGAACATTTCAGTAGGACAGCACACATTCACATTCGGCTCGCGCAACAATGGTCTTCTTGTGAGAGTTATGCTGTGGATGTCCCACTGGGTAGGCTTGAGCTCCATTGAACAATTGAGACAACCCATCATCCACGGTTCAGAAGCCAGTGAACAGGCACATGCTTGTCTAGCCTCTATGAGAGAAATGGAACAGAATCTCACTAGACAGCATCTGCAAAAAGAGACAAAGCATGTATTGCAGAATTACGGTTGGAACTGATTCCTCTGATGACCATACACTATTATGCTGAAGGTTACAGTAGAAATCCTGTTGATAGGGTGGCATGGTTGGGCAGTGGCTAGAATTGTTGCCTCACAATGCTGGGGCCCTGGGTTCACATCAATTCTGTGTGGCATTTGTATGTTTTCCTGCGGTTACATGGGTCTTCTGGTGCTCCGATTTCCTCCACAGTCCAAATAGACACATGGGGTTAATATGCTTGCAGGAAGACTGCCCCTGGTGTGAATGTGTGTGCATTTGTGTTTGTGTCCATGTATGTGCCTTGTGGTGGACTGGTGTCCCATCCAGAGTGTAGTCCACTTGTGCCCGTTGTTTGCAGGGATAGAATCCGGCTCCCCTGTTGCTCTGAATTGGAAGGTTATAAAATAGATGGATGGATAAATATCCTGTTGATGACAAATGGTAATCACCATAACAGATTAACTAGTGTCTTTTCAGTAAGGTCTCAGCTATTTTTGTAGCACATGCACTTTTTCCCCCCTATATCTTTCCTTTGATAATGAGTGAATACATTCCAATGCTTAAAGACATTTTATTTCTTATGATGACCAATACAATGTTAAAAATTTCACATTAATCTTTCATGGATCTTTTTCAGTTTAACTCGTGACTCACCCTAACAGCATCACCAGTTTTGAGAGTAGTGGTAATGATCTCCTCATTGACTTAGCGAATGACCAACATTGTCTGGTCTGCCGTACAGCAGGGCTGTTTTTCAGGGTTTATTAAAAATTAACAATGTTCATTGGAAGTGCAGGAAAAACAAATCTGCTATTACTGTCATTTTTCTGGTTCCCCGACACACAGCCAGTGCATTGGTTCAAAATGTCATATTAGTAAAGAAATAAGTTTTATTATTTACTCCCTGCTGATTACTAGTTTGTACTGTATATACAGTATGGAGTATATACACAGTAAATCTACAGTATATACCACATATGTACATACAGTATACACACATGCTTCTTTTCACAATCCATAAGGTTTCCACCAGGCTTGCCAAGTCAGACAATCAGTCAGTATTACAATCAACTCATGTACAAGCCAGGCTGAAAAAAAAAAGACCTGAACTTCAACTGTTAAATGTCAGCCCAGGGCATTCCTTCTGTTTAAAACATAGTTATATAAATCACATTAGGAACACTGGGCATTATAGGTCAGAATATGTATTTAGGTCCTGGCTGTGCACATTTGACTGAAAAGCTAATTGAATTTCAAGACAAAGATGGAAAGTAGAGTAAATGGAAAAAACAACTGAAGACTAAAATGAAAAAGTCAATAGAAAGGGAGACCAAGAGACAATTTCTTGGGGGAAGAAAGAACTTGTGTAAGAGGGAAGGACAGATTGTACTGAGGTACCGTAAGACCTACTTAACATCTCCCCTGGGTCATTATACACAGTGGGAAGAGCATCATTTCAGAAACCTGTCAGCTGCAGAGCCACAGCTTCTCTCCTCCTCCACCCCACTGTCTGTACAATGGCTTGGAGACTAATCACAGAGAGTGCTTTCACCCAGAGCTCCGCACTGGGACAGTCTCTCCCGAGAGACCACGCTTACTGTTCGGACTTCACCGCCACTTACACAGAGCAGAGCTTATGAATGTACGAGGCGCCTTAACAGCACCGTTGCGACACCCGCCCCAAAAGGAGCTTCCAATACGAGCAGACCCAAACCCAGCGGCACCCGCTGCCTTGGCCTTGAAGGGTCTGGTACAGTACAGGTGCTTGGGGAAGAGGCTGACATTTATGCAATGGCATGTTGGAAAATGGCCCTTTTCTGTATATCCTGAAACTGTTGGATTTAGTTTTTGGATGTAGTTTTTTTATCATTATCATTTTAAAATTTCATAGATCAGTTTTGGAAGGGGGATCATATTGTATCTTTTTTTAGTGTTTTTTTCAGGTTGCAGGGTTAAATAAGGCCTAGAGCAAACTCTTCTGGTTTCCTTTGGTTGCTAGCAGCTTTTGCTAAAAGGAGACCTGGGAATGCTTCAACAAAAAAATGGCAGGGCAGTTTGTTCTAGAAACCCTTTGTGAAAAGGTGCACCTTCTCTCTAAAATCAAAACCCCTTTTCAGTTTCTACTGAATCCTGGACAGTCTGGTAAATTAACTTAATTAAAATTTAGGACTTTAAGTCCTCACCCAGCCTCCAGTTCTTGTGTGAAGAACACACTCGATACAGACTGGGAAGTGAAAAGGGCTTTTCAATGAATTGATCCTGCATGGAAATGACAGGTGTGTGTGTGACCGAGGGAAAAGACCATAACCGAGAAGCATTGCTGTCGACTCCTACTTAAAGATATACTCAAGGAATACAACTTTTACAGAATCCGTTTATTTCGTTTTAAAAAAAAATGTAAGCTGTGTTACAACTTTTTCATACTTTGTACAAAATAAAACATACTGTACCAATATTAGAATACATATATCTTTGGAGTCTGTTCCATTCTTCATCTGAGATAAATTAGAATGCTAATCTCTGTAGGCGCAGAGGAATTCAGCATTCACAAATGGCACAATAAGAGACATGACCAGTTTTGCACAGTGCTTCTACGCTGAAAGAAAAAAAAATCCTGCAAAATCGCAAAAACAAGTATTAAACATGTGGCAGATGACCTTTATTTTATAGTGGATTTTTCTGCAGGTCAGCTGCAAAGGGACCTGTAAGACCAGCACTCATATCACACTTATTATGATCAGATTTCCACTTGCCAAAATGTGCATGGATCCATGCTGTAAGTATTGTAAATGTTGTTGTATTATTGTAATCAGCCTTGCGTTTCGATGCAATTTTAAAGTATTTCAATTCATGTTTTCACTTATTTCAGTTTAGAGGCCAACTTGAAACAAAAAAAACTTTCCCATTTCAGTGTGGTGAATCTGTGGGCTGGCTGCCATCCTAGTTGTGCAGTAACCCAACACAACCAGCAGGAGGCAGCACTCCCAGCACACACAGAACCACCACTCTTTCAGGACAATGGAATGCAATTTGCATCTGCTGTTTGTAGACAAACCAGAGACCCAAACAAAAATGTACCATTTTTTTTTTAACCTTTACACCATCACACCTTTACACTTAACAGCATGAGTAAAAAAAATGAAAGGACACAAACTATATAGGATCACACTTTCAGGTACAATTTCTTAACTCTTTCTGTTGGAAATACAGCACGTATACTGGCACAATCCTAGCTAGAGCATGGTTTACCAGCAACACAACTGAAGCAAGAGGCTGAATGCACCCCAGCAGGCGTCCAGGAGTTACATGGAAGCTGCCAATATCCTGGGCCCTGTCGCTGTACATAAGAACCATCATTTTCAAGCATTTAAACGCAAAACGACTTTCAACACACTACAAAGAAAACCAGCTGGTGTGTGAAGCCAAGGACAAAAAGTGCAGGTGAAAAAGAAATTATGCAGTCATTTGGCAAATACTTGTATTCAAAGTGATGTAGAGAGAATGAGGTGAAGCATACATCAGAAACTGCTGCTGCAGCAGCAACACTGCAACAGGCCGCTCAGCTGAAGGACAAAGCACAAGGACTTCAGTCAGCCAGGCTGATGTACAATGAGCTAGAGGCTTGAACCTCCAACCACCTGGCACAAGGGCCAGTACCTTAACCACTGTTCCAGCTAGCCTGCAAGAGGGAGGACACACAGGCTGAAACAGAACATGATCGTGATAAATATTGACGCAATCTTTTTTGATAGCTCAAACTCCTTTGTACCAGTACTGGTGGGTCACTGATCTGTTCTAGATTTCCTATTTGTTTTTACTTTAAAAATGTGCTTTTCAAAATGTGCTTTAGAGGCATTTCAAAAATAATACTCGGGTCACTTTAAAATGACAGGCTGCGAGGCTCACTGAGAAATAGAGGCTCTCTCTCCAATACCCATGCAAACTGCAAGCTATACAGTAATAAGAGACCAGAACTGTTTACATCAAAGATAAAACACAAGCAATATGGCTGAAGAAAAAAAAAATCAATATCTGGATTGGTGCTAATAGTTCCCAGATTTACATTGCTTCCTCATTATAAATGAAAATACAATACATGGAATGTCCAACTGCCAGTCTAAGGTCATAATTTTGTTCTGTAAAACTGCAATATTTGCGCAAACTTTAGTAAACCTTCTTTCAGCAAGTTTGAGATCAATTAATCTGATTTTCTAATTTCTCAAAGCTCTTTTCAACAACATTAAAACCTTGTTTTTTCTCTACTTATTGAAAGATGCCAGCTATTCTGCAGGTACAACAGAAGTATCATCAGATGTCTGTGATGAAGTCAGACAGTAAGAAGCAGTGAGCAGAGAGAGATGTCTGGGCCATTAGATCTTTATTACCAGGGGCTGAACAGTGGTATACTAGGAGTTGCATGATAGGTGTCTGGGGCAAAATACTACTACAATAACAGCATGGACACAGACGCCAGCCAAGTTCTTACCAACCTGTCACCTCCTGGGTTAGCACTTTACAGTAAACATTACTGTTGTGCTTCTCAAACAGGGACCACAATAAGACGCTAAATGTATAGCAGCCTCAGCCACTACATGTAATCCCACCTGTGGGATGTTGCGTTAAATTCAGCACAAGTAGCCACGGTTTTGCGTTAGCTACCTTATGTTGAGCATATCTGCATAAGGCATGCACAGAGATGATAGAGGCACAGAAATATGCACGGGACCAGCACTGTTAACATACTGATCTCAAGGGCAGGCTCTTAATGAGAGCTTAAGAGATTTCCAAGATACATCTGATCTTTTGATTTGCAGAAATCACTAAATAAAAGGTGGGATATCTGGGGGAAAATGATTAAGGAAAAGGGCTTGGTCTGGAGACATCAAGTTGCATTTTGTCTATAATAACATTTAAAGTGCTTCTGGACAAAGTCTAGTGTGAAAGCAGACATGTATATAGTGTAAAAGACTTGCAGGAGAACTTTCAGCTTATAATGCAACTCATTTTCTCCCATTCGACAGCTGTAAACTATTCAAAACCAGGTGGGAAAAAGCAGTACCATACAGTCTGGCCATTTCACTCTGAACATCTGCCTGAACAGCTGGAATATTTTGGTCCGTAGAGAAGGAGTTCCTGTCTGCAGTACAGCCCATCTGTCCAGACTTTACCTCTCAGTCTACCATTCTGTCCTTGATTGATGACTCTTGCTTCTGCCTCTGACCACACATACTATATAAACGATGCTACTGCCATCTAATCACAACTTTCTCAACCTGTATAACCCAAATACTGTAGCTTGCCAGAGAGGCATCTGAACATGAATACCGTCTCAGAGTATGCACAAAAAAAGCGCTGTATTTTCATCACAAGCATGAAGACACTTGTACATAACGCACAAAATGTATGTGGTCTCCTCCAGCCTTCACCAACAAACAGCCTTCAAGCTACAAGTTTATCCCCTCAAGCAGGGGCAGGTAACTCCAGTCTACCCAGGACAGGTTCCTGAGTTCCAAGAAGCACTTTTCACTTACACCAATAATGAAGACCTAGAAAACAGCTGACGTGGCTTCATACTGCAACTACTGAATTAGTTCAATGAAGTCTTTAAGGGCCGAGACAGACTGAAAACCAGAAACGGATGCCCGGACTGAAGTTACCTCTCCCTGCTTAAGGATCCCAGGAAGCAGAAGAAATTGAAGCGGGCAAATTCAAGAACGCAGAACTGAAGATTTGGGAGAGAGAAGCTCACAGTCTGAAGCCTTTATACAAGCTCAAACAGAATTTGATGGGGGAAAAGGAGCTAGTCTCAAAATACTTCAGCACACACAGTGCAGCTCTGATAAGGGCATGGTGACCACGCTTGGATATTAAAGTGTCAGATGCAGCCCTCAACACAGACACACGCTCTATCTGACTGGCTGGTAGAGAGCCGGCCTAAAGAACCAGGCAGGTCACCACAACCTCGCCTACAGAGCGGCAGACAGCTTCTCCCATTGGAGCCTGACCTCACAGAGCGCTACAGCTACCCGGCCTCCTCTCTATCAGTCACCCTGACACCGCTCATCTTGCATTCAGCAGTACAAGACCAGCAGGTGTGACTCTTTTCTTATTTTGTGCACAGCTTGTGGAGTTTGGATGAAAGAGAAAACTGTCTCACTGCTAGAGCTGCCCCAAAAAGATTTTCTCAAAGCGCTTCTTTTAACGGGCATCTTTAAAATTCAAACAGTTTTCAGCGTTTGGATCGCATGGTTCAGTGCTGGTGTGGCAATCATCCCTCTATGGTCAATCATTCATCCTTTGTGTGGTGGGATTTTAAATCTGAAACTAGGCAGGAGGCTGGCGAGTGTGTGGTAGTTTGAAAGATTTTAACAGTTTCTAAAAGGGAAGAAGGCAGGAGATAAGACACAACGGAACCTATGTGAGCAATTAAAAGACTATAAAAGAAATCTAATGTTCTAGCACTAAGACATTTCACAGTTGTGCTTATCCTCATCTCCCACGGCTAGAAATTAAATGAATAAAGACAGGTTAACTTCTGCATTTCCAAAAATTCAATCAAAAACACAAAGCTTTAAAATTTAACCTGTTTTGAAACACTGCAAGCAAAACTGATGTTACTGTGCATTACAGCACAGAGCACTGCCCAGAGCCAGCACAGAGTACCACTTAGAGAGGCCCAGAGCCAGCACAGAACACTGCCAGGGAGGCCCAGGGCCAGCACAGAGCACCACTTAGAGAGGCCCAGGGCCAGCACAGAGCACTGCCCAGAGAGGCCCAAGACCAGCACAGAGTACCAGTTAGAGAGGCCCAAGACCAGCACAGAGTACCAGTTAGAGAGGCCCAGGCCAACACAGAGTACCACTTAGAGAGGCCCGGGCCACCGTCTGGGACAGAGGACATGAGTAGAGTGCTCATGCAAAGTAATGTCAACGAAGGGGAAGGAGAGTATTAAACTGCAAAGATGCTTTCAAACCAGCACAAGGCACACCAGGCTTTTCAGCTACGTGATTAACAGAAAATGAAACTCATTAAAAAATAGAAGAGCTCTGGTTCTAAAAGAGCTGATCTTTAATAAACCCCCTTACTGAATGCCCTTGCACTTCACTGTAGGAGTACTCACACAGTCTGGACACTGGAGTTACAAGAGGGAGTACTGTATATGTTTTAGTAGGGACTGGAATGACTGAGATGTAAAAGGCCGCTGGCTTGCCACCAAGCTAAAGCAGTATAGTCCAGGGACTGCCTGTCTCTCAGTTCATTAATTAGCATAAATTGCTTTAATTTCTTATTTTATATTTTGTTAAATAGGCAGGAGGAGCTCTTACCTATTAATGCAATTCAGAGTTGGTGATAGCCGGTTATTGAAATAAAGTTTTTTTTTTTAAATCTCAATTTTCTTCTGTGCACTAGAGATTGGATGAAGCATTATGTTCCTCTTTAAATATTCTATAGGGAACAGAGTCATTACTCTCCTCTGTGGAGATTTCAGTTCAGCATGCTCCCTACAGAAATCCCCACTGTTATAGGGGCTAGGGTGAAATTAGGCGTTTTTGTACGATCTCACTTCTTTTGTCACATAAGTGAGGTTTGGGGGGACCCCAATTTCTTGTGCCTCAACAGACACACAGACCTGTGCCATGCTGTGTCACCTGGTGCTTAGAGCTACACAGAGCAAGTGGGGAGAGGGGTGCCTGTTTGGAACACAAATGGTGCCAATTACTGTAAGTGTTCTGGCTCAGCGCTCGCATTTAAGAAAACGAGCCGCTAACAGTACAAGTGGTCTGTTGTGTCCTTCGCTTTCAAAGCTGAACGTCATGAAAAACTGACGCGAGGAAATTATTTTGCTGTTTAAATTAAAAAAAGAAAAAGAAAATCAAATCAAATGCTCAATATATATAAAGGGAATGCTGTTTATGCAGGCGCCCAAAATGTAATTGTTCCACAGGGCTATTACATTCTATGACAAATGTGACATTTTCACATGCTAAATAGGTTAATTAAAACAGTTGTAAGGAAGCGGATTGCCTGATTATTGCTTTAATATGATGAGGCTGATTGAAACGTTATTCCAGCTGGCAGGCTCTGCAGCACGTCCACTCCTGTGACTCCCACCTTAGGATCTCTGTGCTGTTTTGCAGTGCAAAGCCGTTGACTTGGTTTTCTAGATTTTTACCATTTCTGTACACAGCTGCCTTTAAAAAAAGTGACACCGTAAAGGCAAGCCGCCTCTTGTTATTGTTGGGGTCAAATTTTCTATTGCTTATTAAGTGGAACCCGGTTTTCCATGGCATTGGGATATAAACGTACGAAGAAAGAGGAAAGTAATGACACGCCCGCTGTGTCACTCCCTCTAATTGAAAGCTTAAGCTTACTACATGAACAGGGTATTTCTTTATTACGGTATATCTGATCGGCTGCGATACTGCTTTCACAGACAATGAAAAATTTGTTGGTTTTAAATGGCTATGCTGCCATTTTTCTTCCCCAAATCCTGAGCAGAGTGCTCTCTGACTAAGTAATTCCTTGGTGTCTTCACATGCTGGGGCATACAGTACATATGACGTACAAGATTTAATTTTTTGCAGAAAGTATTAAAGTCACAGTAGCTCATCTTTCTTAAGCTTGTGCAGTTTCCTCTCCTTGGTGTGAGACAGCAACACGCCGACACATTCTGGGGGTTTAAACTTTGGAAACAAGCCATCTTTTCTCCAGATTTCGCCCGTCTTTCCCAGTTCTGTGAGAGATGTCTTATGGCTTCCCGTCTCCTTGATATAGTGTTGTGCTCAGTAGGAGATTCAGTCCCTCTTTTCTCTCTTCAAGTAGAAGTCAACTCAAACCACTCCAATTCAAAATCCTCAAACAGTCCAGACCTGAAGTTTCCATCTCTCTATTCGGACTTCATACAGAAACAGGATTCCACATCTCTCAACAGTGAGGCAAGGCCTTTTGTCACCTCAAAGCAGACCAACAAAATAGTGTACCTATAAAAACGTGACTGTTACTTCCAATTTGGCACAAAAGCTTGATTACTATAAAAAAAGTTCTGCCCCTCACAAAGCTCAGGTACAGAAAGGGATGTCTGGGCTCTGCGTTCCATGAAAAGGACATTTAAACACATAAGTGCAGTGAAGTGGTTTAACTAACTGGCATCTACTGTATGCCACGTGACGTGCTAAAGTGCAGCGCAGTGGAGGACCGGAACAGTGTAAACTTTATCGTACCCTTTGACCGAGTCACCAGCGCATCAGCAGCGCGTTCCCCGCACTACAGTAAAACTTGTAGATAATGTTGTAAGTAAGGCGTCACATTTGTGATGATAAAAAAAACAACATTCAAGCCAAACCGCAGAAAAGGGCAACTGTCTTGACCAGGGGTTTGCACCTCCTGAACTCAATACCCGGCCCAGGCCTCCAGCAGCCCTAGATTCATGGGTGCTGGCTGGGACTGCCAGGACGAGTGCAAAGAGCCCGTATTGACACTATACTGCATGCTCGCCTCCACACCCAGGAGCACAGGAGAGTGCAAGCCAGCTGCCTGGGAGGATTTCCCAGTGGGAGAAGGGCAGGAGCAGAGGCTGTGGGGGGGCTGACTCCGCACCAGAAAGCGCCGGATACACCCTGGTGCCGACACCCACAGTCCTCCCCTATAACGACACAGGCACTTCCCAAGATTATCTACAATGATGGCAGTGAGAAAGTAAGCAAGAACAATAAAATGAAGCGTAAGTCCTGTAAAAAAGGAACAGACGGCATATAATCTTTCTCATTCCCCCTTTCACCTCTCTCTGTATGTAAGTGCTGAGGGTGACGCTGGGCTCACTTGAAATGCAACACGCCAGTCTGTGCCGTGGCCCAGTCGGGGGTCAGAGGTCAGTGCTAGTGACAGGGGTGACCCCGTGGATGAGCAGCGTGGGCCCCAGATCCCGGGTCAGCACGTCCAGCTGGTGCAGGTAGGTTTGGTACAGGCGGGTGTCGGCGGGGGGGCGGGGCAGGTACAGGAAGCGCACGGCCGGAGGGGGGAAGGCCTGCTCCAGCACCAGGCGGTTGGCGGCGCGGAGGTACTCATCCGAGAGGCGGGTGGCATTGCTGGGGAAGCTGTTAACGAAGTCGCCTTCCTCCTCCAGCCCCTCTCTCCCGGCTTTCTGCACGCCCGTCTCTCGGGTTTCTCCGCCTTGTTTGTGCCAGTGCAGCGCCACCACGGAGTCCCAGGGCACCGTGTGGATGGCGGCCTTGATGCGCAGCTTGCGAAGCAGCTGGCCCAGCTTCTCCTCCGGCCCGCGCGTGCTGTGCCCCGACTCCACGCACAGGAACAGGCGCAGCTGGGCCTTGCGCCAGGCCCGCACCATATTGAGCACACAGGCCAGCTGGAGCAGGAAGAGGCTGCAGGTGTCCACGTAGCTGCTGCTGTCGGGCCTCATCAGGTTGAGAGGCCAGACGTCCACGAAGAGCCCGCCTCGCCGCCCCAGCACCTCCGCCCGGTCAAAGCGGCAGAAGTACCGCGCCAGGGCCACGTTCTTCAGCATCTTCACGGCGTCGGCGATCACCGCTACATACTCCTCCGCCAACAGCACTTTGGCCTGCCCATCTCCCTCGCTGCTGCCCCGCAGTGCAGGGAAGTTGAACTGCGTCACTTCCTCGGGGTCCATCCCAGAGGAGAGGATGTCCAACGAGCTGCCTGATAAAGTCTGTCTCTCCAGGAGCTGGTCCTTAGGTGGGCAGTCGTCATAGAAACCCAAGACCAGGGTGTTGGGCCTCATCCCACCTTTGGAGACAAAAGAAATGGAGGGGAAGGAAAAAGTGAAAAGGGGAGAAAGAGAGAGAGCTAGAGAACACGAGAGTATTGCAGTAAACGGTGAACGAGAAACTGTGAGGGACGATTTACCCAGGCCTGAGATGAAGAGGAGGTGCTGCACGCCGTGCCTGACGGAGTCGGCCAGCGTGAGGTTGACAAAGGCCTTGATGTTGAGCCGGTCGACCAGAGACAGCCAGGAGTCATAGCGGGACTGCAGGGGATCTGAAGGCAGCGTCTCTGGTGGGGAGAAAACACACAGACACCCATGAGCACATCATTGACGGATAGAATACAGACACACTGCAGAAACACTGACATCAGGAAATGCATTATAGTGATAAGAAAACTTCACATGATCCTCCTGCACATCCAGCATCAGGAGGGACTTCCAGTCCTGGACAGACAGTAAGAATATCAAACGCACTGTTTCACTGAGAAACCCTCCAACACAGAGAACCAGTGTGCAGGAACAACACCAAAGCCACTCTGCCTTACCCAGGTCCCCCAGCTCCACGTGGCCCAGCACGTACAGGCCGCTCTTCTTGATGTCATTGATGAAGGAGATGAGGTGGGTGCTGCTGCGAGGGTTGGCCACCATCAGCAGGATCTGCGGCCGCCAGAACTTCACATGATCCTTCCGCACGTCCAGCATCAGGAGGTACTTCCGCACCTGGACACACAGCGGGAACCAGGGTTTCTTTTTGAAAAACCTAAGTGACCTCACCATTTTCCACAAAGCGGAGAGATGCAACAAGTATAAATGAATCTGTACGGATACTAATCTCCCTGGCTGTTTATTACAAGCTTTTTACCTGTGATTGAAATGACCTGTGCAATTAGCACTACACTCAAACAGTCCAGACTGTAAGTGTCTACCATCTTCAGAGAGAAGAACACATGGCACGTCTCTGCCTAGTGTCACACAAGCAATGCACAACGTGGACACACACAATACAGACTTGCAGTACAGGGAGACATGCACATCCAACATACACAGGAAGACCCACAACATCAACTTTCAGACATACAGCAGATAACACGCACACACAACAAACATCACACACTGAGACTTAATACACAATAGACACCCAGAACAAACAACATACAATGCATATACACAGAGAAACACAAACACTGCACAGAAAAGACAAATGCATAGACAAACCAAAAATAACAGAAAATAGACGCACAGATTAGACTTTGTCACAATGAACAGTGGTGCTGGATTAGAGTTTTTGCTTTCCATTACTGAAACGATGTTAAAATATTACATAAGTCTGTGGCATCTGACAACATAATTGTTTTTTTTTTTTTATCCTGTGTTTTGTCAAACATATCTGTAATACAGACACATGTGTGTGTAAGTGTCTGCATCATCACCAATGCACAAACCCATCATTGTAAAGATTCTGGGATCAATTAGCTACTAACTAATCGAATGGGCTGAACTGACTGACTCCATTGATTTATTACCTTTCTTATGGTTTAGATCTGAAAAACACGATGCTTAGCACCAGCCATGACTAAACTGCCCTGTGGAACGTTATGAAATCCCATCTTCAAAATGTGAATTCAGAAACTGGAGTATGTGCACAAAGTATCAGTTTCATGTCATGCAAATAATTCAGGCAAGAATAAATGCCAACATGAATTTGTTAGTACATCACAACCATGACACACCATAAAACGTCTTTTTTCCCCAAACACTTTTTAGATTGTGAAAAAGTTGCCATGACCTTAAAGCAAATTCCTTGGGATCCCTTAACAAATGGCTGGAGGAGATCCTTGGATCCGTTAGAACCAGCAACCTAACAGGCTATGGCCTTATCTAGTTTGTAATCTTATTGCTCAGCCCTCCTGCAGCTGGACATTCAGCAGACTACAGGAGGTAACATGACTTGAATTTCCCATTGGCCTTTACCAATCATGGCCCCCTAATAATTCCCCTCTATGAATTGGCTTTATTACCCTGCTCTCCTCCCCACTGATAGCCGATGTGTGCTGAGCGTTCTTGCGCACTACAGCTGCCATCGCATCATCCAGGTGGATGCTGCACATTGGTGGTGGTGGAGGTGAGTCCCCATTACCTGTGAAGAGCTTTGAGTGCAGTGTCCAGAAAAGTGCTATATAAGTGTAATTATTCTTCTTCTGTAACAGTCTTAGTACACTAAGCCCTCTTCCACAATGTCAACCTGGTGAACTGGTTCAACAAGCGTAACCCGGTTCCAAACAGGGCTACTGACC